GTTCAACAGTGCGCATGCCAGGAGATCCCCCGTGCGTTGCTATTGAATGAGTGGGTACCTAGCCCGGCCCACTCCGTTGTGCTTTAGCACGTGCTTCCATGCAAAGGTGCTGTGGTGGTTAGAAGCGCTCTTCGGTGGGCATCGGTGGGTTGTGGCCGTGTGGAGGCCCCCCCCGCTCAAGCTGTTCCAGGTGGGTTGCCCGCCGCCGCTTGAAGCCGCGGACAGACTCTGGCCGAGTCACTTGTCGAGATGAACGGCGGCTACCTGTGCTAGACCCACGATGACCCTAGCAGCGCTGTGTCGTGCTGTACGATCGCCCGGTGCGACTCTCGCCACTTGGTGTCAGCCGGCTCCCCCTCTGACGGCCGCCGCGCCCCGACGCTCCTGTGACGGCCCCGCCGCGCCGCCCCACAGAAGAGCGTGCCACCGCTGACGAGCCGGCCGCGTCCCGCCCCCGGCGCCGCCGCCGCCACCCCGGCAGCCAACGGCGTGCTGCGCGCCCAGCTCAGCTCGCCCATGCGGCCTCGGATGCCGGGCAGGGTGAGTACGCGCGGCGTGGCGACGCTGGTCTGGCGCGCGCCGCCCCGCGCGCGCATGGCGTGCTGGGCTTCGCGTCCGGACAGGCCCCGTGGACGGGCGTGGTGTGCGCTGTGCGTGCCCTGTGGTCGGGTTGCCTCCGGGAAGTCCTTGGTTCGAGTGTAAACCAGTGCCTGCTGTAGTTACTGGGTCTAAGCGCGCCGACGCAGCAGGTGCAGGCTGCTCGCGCGGGTTGTGTTAGTTCTCAGCGTCGCCTTCACAGGCGTCCGCTACTGGCGTGGCGCCCTACGGCTGGCGCGTGTGTGGGCCCGCTGCTGTGCGGCGGCGCGGTGACCGGGCCGGCCGGTGTGTGTGTGTGTGTTCGCAGCCGCCGCTGAGTCCGGCGCCGGTGCCACTACAGCGCACCGGGCTGGGCGCGCTGCCCGGGTCCGGAGCCGGCTCCAGCCCCGGCTCCAGCCCCGGGCCGGCCAGACGAGCGGGCCGACCGCCGGCGCCGGTGAGACGGGGCGGCGAACGCCGCGGAGGCGCAGCTCTGGTCAGGGCCTGGACCCGGCTCTGGTCAGGGCCTGGGCCCGACTCTGGTCAGGGCCTGGACCCGACTCTGGTCAGGGCCTGGGCCCGACTCTGGTCAGGGCCTGGGCCCGGCTGTGGTCAGGGCCTGGGCCCGACTCTGGTCAGGGCCTGGGCTCGGCTCTGGTCAGGGCCTGGACCCGGCTGTGGTCAGGGCCTGGACCCGACTCTGGTCAGGGCCTGGGCCCGGCTCTGGTCAGGGCCTGGACCCGGCTGTGGTCAGGGCCTGGACCCGACTCTGGTCAGGACCTGGACACGACTCTGGTCAGGGCCTGGCCTCGGCTCTGGTCAGGGCCTGGGCCTGCCTCCGGCCGGGCTGCGGGAAACCTCCGGTTATGGGCCGGGCACGTCTCGGACGGGGCGTGGGGGTGCTTCTGTGGGCTGATTGTTGACCTGACGGGGGTTGGTGACGCTTCTGTAAAGAGTGAGATGTTATTAGCGCGTGCTCAGTGGTAAATACCATTGCCCGGACACTTGCCCGGTCCGGATTGCGGATGCCCCAGTAATCGTTTGGTGATTGGGTCTTTGGCTTGGTGACGCCTCTGGGAGGGGTTTTGTTGATGCTGCCACAAATGCCGGGGATTGGGGAACGATGGACTCGCGGTGTTTCGGATGTGACTGGGGAGTTGCCTGGCGGTTTCTGGCCGGTTCGGCGGCCGAGCAGTGCGGATGGCGGCGGCTGTGCGGCCTCCTGCCGGACGTGAGCGGACTCCTGACCGCCAGGTGGTGCAGTCCCGCGGCGGTGCGGTGGCGCTGCTGCCGGTGGTGCGCTCGCCGGCGCCGTCCAGCTCGCCGCATCGGCAGATGGCCCCGGCGCTGGGCCCAGCCGCCGCGGCGCAGAAGCCGGCCGCGGTGAGTGGCCGCCAGACGGGCGCTGTGCGGGGGGGGGGGGGGGGAGGCGTGCCGAGGACCCGCTCTGGAGGCTCCGCAGGAGGTTGGGCCCAGGGGACATGGCGTGCGCTGACAACGAGTAGTGGGCGCACCGCCGTTGAGCAGACCCGTGCGTACTCAGTGTTCGCACCCTACCGCTCAGTGTCAATCAATTCCTTGCTGGATTTGGTGAGGGTGAGGCGACGTCTTCCACTCACGACGTTTGTGAACAGAACTGGGCGCGTGCACTGTGTCGGCGATTTGAGTTCGTTGTGGTCAATGTGCCCAGTTGCCGCTTCCCCGGGTGGCCAGCCAGGCGTCTCCCCGTTGACGACCTCTCCCCATTGGTGACCGGTCTGCCGTCGCCGCCGTCCGCAGGCGCGGCAGCTCTCGATGCCGGCGCCGACGCCGCGGCCCCGTGGCCGGCCACCTAAGCAGCCGCAACAGCAGCCGCCGGCAGCGGCGGCGGCGGCGGCGGGCTCCGCCGACGTGGTGGATCTCACCGACGACGACGACACGCGCCGGCCGGCCGGCCGCGGCGGCGGCGGCGGCGTGCAGGGCTCGCCCCGCCGGCCGGCCGGAGCGACGACGGTACGGAGCGGCGGCGCGGCCTCCTTGCCTGCCTGCTTCCCTGCCTGCCTGCCTCCCTGGCCGCTCCTTGCTGCGGCGTCCGGCGGCGGCGGCGTGCAGGGCTCGCCCCGCCGGCCGGCCGGAGCGACGACGGTACGGAGCGGCGGCGCGGCCTCCTTGCCTGCCTGCCTCCCTGTCTGCCTGCCTCCCTGGTCGCTCCTCACTGCGGCGTCCGGCGGCGGCGGCGTGCAGGGCTCGCCCCGCCGGCCGGCCGGAGCGACGACGGTACGAAGCGGCGGCGCGGCCTCCTGCGGCGTCCGTACCTGCCTCCCTCCCTAGTCGCTCCTCGCTGCGGCGTCCGGCGCGGCGCTGGGCCGGGGCCGCTGTGCTGCCTGCGCGCCTGCGCGCTGCTGATCAAGGCTTTTGTCGTGCCTTGTTTCGTTGTGTGCACCTGCGTATTCGATGTTTTCGTACGCAGTGCTGTCCTTACGTTCTTTCGTGCAATATTTTAAGTATACGCTTGTCAGTTTGGAGCCCGAGCAGAGCCATCTGGCCTTAAACACATCAGGGGACGTGCGGGCTCCTGTTGGGACACCGCACGTATTGCGCGAAGTGTCGGCCGTGCCGGGATGTGTCGTCTCCGGGGGTCGTTGGGTTTGAGACAGCTCCCGACCTTCTTTATGCTGGGGCTTTGGTCTTCTGCTGGGACAGTGTTTGTTAACCGGTGTCTGCAACAACTACATTGGCTTTTTAAGTGTTGCGTTGGACAGACTCCCCTGTTGGTTAAGCCGGATCAGGCTGCACACTCCTGGCACACTATAGGTGCAATGTTTCATGGCTTTGATGTTTGCCACCGTGCTGCCTGCTGTTTTTTTTTTTTGTCTTCATGCCAATTATATAAGTATGGTGACCGGTTTCTGGCTAGGTCCAGTCTTCGCGCCCCCAAGTGGGCCCAATCTTCACCAGCTTCGTTGTGTCCGCTGCGGGCTCTCACCGGCCCCGCCCGCTCTCACCGCCCCCCCCCCCCCCCCGTCAGACGGTTTCGCGCGTGGTGGGAGCCGTCAGCCCGGGTCGAGGCCGCGGTGTTGGCCACCCGGCGCCGTTCCCGGTCACGCCGCCCAACCCGGCTGTGCACACGGGTCAGCTGCTGCCGCCGCCGCCCCGGCTCAAGGTCACCAGGCGCGCTAACGGTCAGTGACGCGCCGCGTCGCCAGCCAGCCGGCCGGCCAGCCAGCCAGCCGGCCAGCCAGCCAGCCAGCCAGCCAGCCGACCGTCGGGCAGGCGCTGACCGCGCTGGTCGGCGTGGCCGGCATGGTCAAGCTCGACAGGGCCCGTACCGATGGCGCCGGGCTGTTGGAGATAGCTGTGGATAGGATGGCGGCGCCGCACGTCTCATGGGATCGGTGGGGCGGATGATGAAGTCATTGGACGAGACCGAGAGGGCGGTCCATTGGATTGTGTGATCAGTCTGGGCAGCACATGACTTGCGGGGTGAGTCCCCGAAGTGTCGTACCCCTGCTATGCGGTGACGCGCGTCGAGGGTCAACGATCGCGTGCAGTCCGTGGCCAGGCAGTAAAAGGCGACGGTTCGCGAGCGTCCGTCGGGTGGTAGACGGGTGTGCAACGCTAGGTAGTTTCGGGCGCTGCGTGGCTGGTTTGGTCGCTCAGCCAGCCGTCGTCCTGTGTTCCGCCGGTGACGTCGGTTCGGCCGGCTCCGTAGGCATCGTGCTGTCCTGGACGATGGACCTGACGCCGCGGCACGCCGGGGTGGTCAGCTACCACCTGTTCGCGTACCAGCAGGCGGGGCCCGTCAACCCGCGCGCGAACCCCTGGAAGAAGGTCGGCGACGTCAAGGCGCTGCCGCTGCCCATGGCCTGCACACTCACACAGGTAGCGGCGGCGCGCGGCCGGCTGGGGGTGGCGGCCGGCCAGCTGGCGTCCAGCGGTCTGTCCGGTTTGTTTGTGCGGGGCAGTATCTAGTCAGGAATGTGGCGATCAGGTGGCAGTTTAGTCGGTTCGGTTCAGCTGGCTTGTTTCTGAGTGTCTCGCCGTATCTCGGTGCGCGCTGTCGCTTCAAAGGAGGTCATGTGTCGCGTGGGCCGTTATGAGACTGCTCCCATGCGCTGGTCGGCGGGGCGTGGACGGCGTTCATTTTCGTCTTGGGAGTAGTTATAGCGCATTAACTGAATGTTTATCTCACAGGCTTTGAAGCTCTGGAGCAAAGTCCGCGTTATCAAATGCCCTTTCGGTTGGATTCAGTCAGGATGCCACGCACCTATCTGGGGTGGGCAGCGTGGCACTTTGGTGTGCGATGTTGTACTCTCCATGTCATACGTGACGCCATGGTCTGCGATGCTGTACTCTCCATGTCACACGCTCGCGGCTGGTGTGTCGCTGGGCCCGCACTGCGCCTCGCCCGCTCACCCGCCGCCTCCTGCCGCAGTTCCAGGAGGGGCACAAGTACCACTTCGCCGTACGCGCCGAGGACAGCTTCCGTCGGCGCGGCCCGTTCTCGAACCCGAGCTCGATCGAGCTGCTGGGCCCCTCCTAGCTTCCGGCCGGCGGGGCGCCCTCGGCCGCCGGCCGCGTCCCACTGCCAGCAGCGCAGCGGCGGCGGCGACGGCGGCGAGCCCGTTTTACCGGCGGCGGCGCGCGTCCCGACGTCGCCGCCGCCGCCGCTAGTGTACATTGTGACTCCGCTCCGTGTCTTTGAGTAATGTTAGATGTGGTAATAAAGAGATCGAGGATGTGCCGAGTTTGGACCGCCGTCGTCAAAAACGACCGTATTGGAAAGCCAGGCCGCCACAAAAAGGGATCATGTGGCGACTTGCTTCGCAATGCTAGGCCGAGAAAATAACCAGGTCAAATCACCATACGTATGCGTGCAGATAGCTATTTTGTAAGGCCATGGGTCAGGTGATGGTGATACAATCGGAAAATAGCCTTAGGGAAAGAAGCCGAAGGTTGTATGCAGCTACTTCAACCCTGGATTGGTCCAGAGAATCCGGCCGCTGTCATGCGGAGCTTCCGACACCTTTCGATCCCCTTGCAAGTGCTGACGACTCCTGTCGGTCGTTCAACCCTAGCCTGAACACTTAAAACGGAATTGCATTTTTCGATAGCGCGTTTTACGCAAATTAACGCGCACCGTAAGCGCGGACAAATACTGGTGAGCTGCTTTGGGCCCTGTTGAGAAGGTAAATGATACCCGTAGACGACCTAGTTCCAGTCTCAATAGTTTGAGGGCTCACGGAGGCGCAGCAGGTACTCAACTTACCTTGGCTGTATGAAGTGGTCCCAGCATACATGGATGCCCAGTAGCATTTAAGCACGATTACGCCAAAAATGTAAAGCATTTGGAAGCGTGCTTCATGCGACAGACGCTGGAGTAAAAGAAACGCGCGCTCGGTGCGTCAAAATGTCCCACAAAAGGCTAGTTAAGCTTTGTAAGAAAAAATATGATATAGTGGAATGGGACCTGCGTTTATTCGGTCGTAACAAATTGGTTGAAGAATAGGTAATCGTTCTAACGGTGACAAATGCTTCAGATGAAGCCAAAATGTGCACCTTCGGCGAGTCAAGGGTGTATATGCTTCCTAGATGCCACTGGGTCTGCATGCTCGTTTTTCACAAAAAAGCTCCAGGTCTTCGACAAAAATCGAGACAAGCGGACCATTCCCCAAAAAGGTGGCCTTAAACCGAAGTGCCCTGAAGTCGAGAGGAGCGCGGGTGTTTTTGCTGGTTAGCTGGATCTAATGGCCCGAGCCCCTGGATCCTAGTCCCTCACCTTCCAAGAACGATTTTCACCCTTCTCCATAGCGAAGGAAATATTGGGATAGTGTCCACCGCGTTTTGGGAAAAGTTTCTCCGCAAAGATCAGTGAGCACCCACATAACTTTCAGTTAGGGCAAAAGGGTCTCCCAAATTATGGGAGGACATAAGCGTGCTTTTCTCGCCCTGTCAGCAGGAGGCGGAGGGGTGGGATCACTGCCTCCTCGGGTCACGCTGCTGCGCCGCCTCAGCGACGAAGGCTCTGAGGTGACTGGGTACTCGTTGACGGCAGCTGACGTATGCCAAGACGACGGTCGCGAGGCTCTTTGCAATGCCGGGCCAGGAGACGGTCCGCCGCGCTCGACGCGTGATTGGGTCGGTGCCGCGATGTCCGTCCTCCAGTTGAGTCTGGGTTTCTCGTTGGTAGCTTTGGTCAGTAGCCAGACGTGGGAGGACATCAGCAGTGGCCACCACGGAGCGCACACCCGAACACGCCATAGCGGGTGCAGCTCAGGACGATGGTCTACAGATCCAGTCACAGTGATGACCGCGAGGACTGAGTATGCTGGGTCACGAGCAGATCCGGCAAAGACGTTCTCCAGAGTGACGCCGTGGAGGCAAGGCGCTTACCGTCCTCACGTTGAGACTAACGTCACCTTGAGAATGATCATGAGATCGCGTAGAAACGGTCAGCTCCCTCAGCAGCCTGCAACATCAACATCCACTCCATCACCAACCTTATCGTCCGGTGCAGAGTCCTGCATGGAGCACGACACAGGGCCTATGGCACTTGGCAGCCATTCTTACGCTGGCGTTTGTTCCACTGGTACCTACTTAACTCGACGCTACTGCACTCCACAGCTATTGCGTTCCGGTTGTTAAATGCTGACGGCGCTTGGCAACCGGAACGAAACGGCGCACACAGAAGGCAGGAGGACTCTTTTCGTTTCGTCTGGTCTGTTGAAAAATATTCATCATGGAGGTGTCGTTGCTTCGTCACCACGTGCCAATGCACTATTTTGGGTTTGTGTATTTGGTCCTGTTCGTACGACAGAGTTCGTTAGTTTTCCGGAGGACCATCGACTTGATTCGAAAACAGACGTTGAAAAGGAAGAGCCTATCAGCCAAAGAGTTGCGAGGCAAAGGTGAGAGAGGGGTTGGAAGGGCGGCGTCGCACACTCCGAAGTCGTCGTCGTCGTCGTCGTAAACACGAACGCGGCTCGCGTCGAGCCGCGCCGTCGGAGCCTGAACGTGGAATGCTCGGCAGGGACCGTGCGTTCCCGCCCGCGTGTCCCCATAAACCCACGTGGCCCACATATGGGCTCCAGATGGTGGGGACCAATCGGCAGAGGGGCCGCTCACACCATCACGGAGACGCCGCCGCCGCGCCGCCAGCGACGGCCCGTTTGCTCGCCGTCCCATAACAGGTCCCATGGTACCAAATCGTGATGTGCCCAGACCGCCTGCGGACTGTGAAGTTTCAGATGTTTTAAAAAAAAAACAGCCGCCTCCGTGGTCTAGGGGAAAGATGCTGGACTCGTAATCCAGCGGCACTGGGTACGAGTCCCAGAGTGGGCGCATTGTTTGACCCGACTGAAATGGAAAGGCCAGCTGGCAACTGGCCAACGAGGGTCAACCCAGGCCCGAGGCGGCCGTGTCGCAGCATTGTGCGGCACGTAAAACCCTCCGCATTCCTGTCCGGCGAAAGGGCGGAGGCAAAATTAGCTGTTGAACTGGACGGCACGCTTGGGTGGTGGGTTCGGGGTACACGCAACAAGCTATGCTTAGCAGGTACTCTGAATCCGAAGTCACCCACGCAAACCATTCGAAATAAATTTATGGGAAAAAAACGTGGTCATGGTCGCGATCATCACAGGCCATGGTCACGCTTCTGCTTATCCAATTTTTCGAGCATTTGAAATATGTCACCAAATTCTGTCTCTAATAATGCTCGCATGACTGGTGAGAAGCTTTCTTTTGCCAGCTGGCGCTGGCACCACGGCCAATGAGTTTTTCACGCATTTGGTGCAGACGAGGGCTTTCAATTCGACTGCGTTCCCATACTGCTCAAGATGGGTACCGAGAGGTAGTGATCGAGGTATAGGCAGAAACGCAGGCAGGGGGGGGGGGGAGGAGGGCAAAGGAAGCGCGTGCCCCTCTTAGGTTCCGGGAGGCCCGGAGGGCCCTCAAAGCCTACTATTAAGGGCCCGAAAGGCCGGCTGGAGGTCGCATTAAGGGCCCCAGCCTGCAGAGCCGGGCACTCCAATGCCAGCCAGAGGGCCCTGCACACTGATCAGCGGCCCCTTAAGTCGATAAGGGCCTATGTATTGGTAAACACCACCAGCAACACGCAGCCGGCTCCGCGACGACATGGAAAGTGAGGCCCATTTCCCAGGCAGGAGCAAAGCCGGGGCCGGCGATTTACATTGGTCGGTCTAACCTAACCTAGCCTGACCCAATCCCAGCGGGGCCCCAGCGTCTGTCAGCGCTCGACAACGCCTAACAGGGGCCCTGTGTTGGCAAGGGGCCGAGTCGGCCAGAAGCAGTGTTCGAGGTGACCCGGAGAGCTTAGAGGGCCCTCCGAATCCGACGATCAAGGGCCCGACTGGAGGCTCTAAGGGCACGAGTGACTAGTCCGAGTCTTATTCAGGGGCCCCGGCATATCGGAACGGGCCCTCAAATAACCGTCAGAGAGGCCTTCGCGCCAATCGGGGACCCCTGAGTCGATATGGGCCTATTTGTCGGTCAGGCACCACCAGTACCGTACAGTCGGCTCCGTGTCGGTATGACTCGAGAGCCTACTTCCCAATTAGCTATAAAGCCGGGCCCGTGATTTATACTGGTCGGAGCTCCTGCATCTGTCAGGGGCCCACAGCGCCTAACAGAGGGCCCTGTTTTCGCAAGGGGCCCCGAGCCAGGGGAAGTGTTCGATGGGACTCGATGCGGGGCCCGGGCGGCCCACCGGAACCGACGATCAAAAGCACAGTTGGAGGGCATAAGCGCCCGAAGGACTAGCTGTAGGTCACATACAAAACCGTGGCCCGTAGGGTCGTGACCTGAAATCTCAGCCAGAGGTCCTCTTGCACCGTTTGAGGAACCCCTGAGACAATGCGGGTGTGTAAGTCGGCCAGAGACATGTTAAGGATCACGTTAAAGTCATGTAGGTCATGTTAAGGATCCCGGCCTATATCATCCCAGCCATGATCTCAAACGTCCGTTAGAGGACCTCTTGCACCGATTGGGGACCCCTGAGACGAAGCGTTCCTCTGTTTCAGTCAGAGGCCAGCAGCACAGTCGGCTCCATGCTGGTCTGGGGGCCCATTTCCTAAGCAGGGACAAGACTGCGCCTGCAATTTACAATGTTCGGGGCTCCTGTATCGTTCAGTGGTTCACAGTGCCTAGGAGGGTACTTTGTGCCAAAAAGAGGCCTTGAGTCGGTCAGGAGAGGATTCGCCTAGCAGGGACAAGTACGGGACCCCCAAATGACGGACAGCCTCCTCCATTGGTCGGAGCCCTCTGACAATGAAAGCAAACATGAAAACTTATAAGAAGTGCTCACATTGAGGCAGTGGAAGGGTCCTGTGCTAGGCAGGGAGGGTCCCAGTACCGAACGGTGGGCCCTCCATCCCAGTTTCAGTGTAGGGCCATTATACCAACGGGAGCCTATGTGCCAATTATTTGACCACCTGCGGCGATCAGGGATGTCGTTGCATCAATAAGGGCTCCCGCGTCGATCCGGGGTAAGCTCCGGATCGGCCAGGGGATCCTGCCCCGTGTCGCCAGAATGTCAGCCAGAAGACGGCGTCGATCCGAGGTAAGCTCCGGATCGGCCAGGGGATCCTGCCCCGTGTCGCCAGAATGTCAGCCAGAAGACACATCGCGGTGAGACAGAATTCCTTGTTCCCGGTCAAGGGCCGAAGGCCCTTGACCGGGAACAATAATGGGCACCGTAGTGCTTTACTCAAGGGAGCC